GTGCCAATATGGCTGGCCAAGGAGGTCCTATCCCCTACAGTGGCAATATGGCTGGGCAGGGAAGCCTCAACCCTGTGAGTGGCAATATGGCTCGTCAGGGAAGCTTCAACCGTGGGAGTGGCAATATGGCTCGTCAGGGAAGCTTCAACCGTGGGAGTGGCAATATGGCTCGTCAGGGAAGCTTCAACCGTGGGAGTGGCAATATGGCTCGTCAGGGAAGCTTCAACCGTGTGGATGAGGGTTCAGTGCCCCAAACGGGTCTCGGTGGGGGCATTTTGGTGCGTCAGGGAAGCTTTCAGAGCAACAGAAGCACGTCACCGTCCCTTGACGGGGGAGGCCAGCTGTGCAGGATAGCAAGTGTATCATTCATTGATCTAGAATCTGAGAGCATGTGAGGTTGCTGTGACGGGGGATGCATTTCCTGTACGCTCTGTCCCTGTGTCCCTGTGCCTGTCGCTGAGCTTTGAGGGACATATATTTTAACGAGTGTAATGTGCCTAAAACTTGGCGTTATGCTGAAGACCAAGTGGTATGTATCGGAATGTGTGAAGTCCCCCCAAAAAACAACAACAACAACCAAAAACGAAGATAGACCACTGGTACATCCTTTGATCTCACTTCTTTTATCTCCTTTCTAAGTTTACAGGTTCATTAGAGGAAAGTGATAGATATTTTCCTGTAAGCCACCATGGATGTCTTAACAAGATTATTTTTGTTTTTTTTTCCGATCACCCGGGCATGTGAAGATGTTTTTTATATTTGCTTTAGAGACACGGAATAGACGAGCGAGAGCGGTATAAGGATAAATGGCCATTGCCTATGGTGCCAGCTTGCTTTGTGTCTTTTTTTTCTTTTCTTTTCTTTATTCCTTTCAATGTGTATGTGTGTGTGTGTGTCATATTTTATGTGTCTACACCTTGCTTGTGACGCAGGAACTAAAGGGAGTCTGTCTTGCCTCTTACAGCTGCTGGACCGAATATCACACTTGCGTCTTGGTATGTTGTGAAGTGACTGCAGTGGCCAGAGTGTGCTGTTTTTGAAAGACACCACTTCTTCCCTAGGGTGTGTCTTTTTTATGCTGATGAGTGTGAGCCAAGAGGGCCGTTCTTTTTCTGTTTTTTTTTTCTTTTTGTTTTGCTTCTCTTGGTCCACTTCTGGCTGCACCTCCTGGGTGGCAGAACTGCTGAGACGCTATACGGCTTTTGTGTTTGGTTTTGCTTTTTTTTTCCCCCTGGGACACAGTTCCGTTCTTTTCGATTGCGGTGTGCGTACACGCGTAGAGAAGGGGAGAGAGTGTGCCAAGGGTAGGGAGCGAGACAGAGGGGGGCGTGCACGTGTGCGCACCTGCAATGACGACCAGGCTGTCACCGGCAGTGAGGAGCGACGTGGCGATGCCAGCGACATCCGGGCAGGCGTTCTCGCGGAGCCCGTCCTTCGTGTTGCCGCCGGTGATGCAGAGCAAACTGACAGGCGGCGGCGGCGGCGGTGGCCGCGCTGGGCGGCTGCGCTTCAGCGTCACCCCCGGTCAGCGGCTCTCGGGCGGGACGGCGCTCCTCTTCCATGCGTCCAGGCCGAATGGGGGAAGCGTAATTGCAGCGCCTTCAGTGGAGGCGGACGGCGCGCAGGGGAGGCGGCAACGGCGTTTCATGCGAAGCGTCGCTGGAGACGTGAGCGGGGAAAGCAGTGCGGGCGCGGCCCCACTGACGAGGTGTCGTTCGCGCAGTTTTGGAAACTCGCAGCTGCAAATGCACGGAACGATGGGAGAAGGCCCCAAGGGAAGCATTACTGGTCCGCTGAGCGAAACTTCCTCGCTAGCCACTGTGAACTCCACAAGGGCCAGCGTGCAGCTGCGCAACCGGGGGCGGAAGACGACGACGGGTTTTGATCCCGGCATATACGGCGTGCTGCTGCCGGCAACATTGAAGCTGCGAGTGGCGGAGGAGACGCAGTTCGGTGGCGTTGTGGGTGTGGTGGCCAGCGAAATGATGGCGGAACGTGATGCGCAGCGGGCCTCCCGAGGTATGGCTTTACTGAACACCAACAAGATGCAGGCTGTGCCGCTGCTTGAGTTGAGACAATTTGAGACAAAAATGAAGCAACTTCAAGAACGTGGGCGACAAATGCGGCGCAGGTGGAAGCGGAGCGTGTTGGGTGTGCCTGGGTCGAATGGTGGCGCGGTCATGATGATAGAAGACGGTGATGACTTGAGCTCGGAGAGTGGGGGAGAGTACGGCCCCAATGATATGTTGCATTCCCCCCGATCACAGAGGCCGTATGAAAAGGTTGAAAATGCTAAAACTGTTGCCGTCGCTCGGAAAGCACAGATCGATGCACTTCAGCACGTTAATGAAGAGTCTCGGGGCACGGCGCTGCTGCGCCGTGAACTACAGAAAAGTCGCTGTGAAGTGGATCAGGCGCGGAACGGTCTCTCTGCTTCGGAACGCCTCAGAAAAGCGCAGAAGCATGAAGAACAAGTGCAAGTGATGGCAGGCGAGGGAACACAGCCTGCGGGGATGCAGCTTTCCATGGAGGATGTGTCGTGGGGTGCGGATAGCATTGCTTCGCTGCACAATGCTGCGTCCTCCCCGCTTTCACATTCCCTCTCGTTGATCACAGGCACTAGACATGACAGCAACAGCGCCTCGGGTCGCCGCGTCAGCCCTGTGCTTCGAGTTCTGCTGCATCGTGGAAAGACTGCGATGGTGTATGGGCTGGATCCGGCGAACTTGCGAAGTGACAGCAAAAAAAAAGAAAAACTGCTTCTGGAGCCACCGTATTCTTCGTCAGAGTGGGCAGCACCCGCAGAACCGGTCTCAGGTGCATTGACCACTTCGAAAGCAAAGTCGGAGAAGATGGCATTGCACGCCCACAAGGGCAACACACATCGGCCGCGCAAAGCGCTTCCTGTTGAGTATGGCGTAGGGGAACAGTCGCGCTTACTCTACGAGACACTTGTGACAGAAAGCCGTATTGGGGATCTGCAGGCGGAGATTCAACATGGCGAGGATATCCGACGCACGAGGCAGCTGCTGCTGGATCTTCGACCGGAAAGGGAGAGGCTTCTGGATGAGTCACTTAAGCACTCCCACAAGAACCCAATTGTTATTCTACAAGAGCACCGCCAACAGCTCTTTAAAGAGGCGGAAGCAATGGACGTAGAGGAGCGACAGCAAGCATGTTTCACATTCGTTGATCTCCTAGAAGAGCGATACCGCGGCGAGATCGCCGATAACTCATGGCCCGCTGTGGCCAAAGCGCTGCAGCGAACACGTGATCTCATCCAGATCTCCCCCAGCCGCTGCAATCTGCGCAGTTTTCGGAGCAATGTGAAGGATTGTTTTCTGATGTCGCACCTCATGGAGTGGCCCGTTCGTGAGTTCCTGCGTCGACTCGCCCAACTCTTTGATATATCGACGGCACAGTACAAGGCGGTCATGGCGAACGTGTACCAACGACTTGACCGACCGCAGAACTACCAGGCACGGTTCCGCGAGATTGAACGCACAATTCCTGGCATGGAGCAGCCACCAGAGCTGCGCCTCCGCATCACAGTACACCGCTGTCGCTTCGTGCTGACTGACGCAGGTACGTGCGCAGTTGTACTCGCGCATGGTGGCGCGTTATGCCACGAGGGCGGTGTGGAGCGGGTAGAAGTTTCCGTCCAGCTGAAGAGCGATCATCAAACGACTGTTACCACTGTGGCTCAGGCGCGTACGAACAGTGCAGATGAGACGGACGACATGGGTGCGAGGCAGCGAAGCTCCGAACAGGCACTGCGGTTTGTTGCAAATATGCTTGACCAAGCATTCCGGATGCAGCTGTGCGAGAATGGAGCTCTAGAGGTGTTTCTGCTTCGCAGTGGCCAGGTGATGTGCTCAGGTGTGCTGCGCCTGTCGGAGTGCGCCTTCAATACACGTGGCGTCGCATTCCTGTGGCTCCGTTTGTCAGGGCCGATGTGCTCGCAGGCCGAGGTGAAACTCACTCTGGAGGTCCTGGGCGATAAGGAGCGGCGGAAAAAGCTGCCCAAGTAGCACTTGAACGTGTGTGATGTGAGGACTGAATACGAAAATGTAGAAAAGAAAAAAAAATATATATATAGATTCCCAACACAAACCTGGAAACATCTATTTGTGCCAATAGGACCTATTCCTCATATTGGCTCGTATGTAGTGGCGATGCTAACTCTTAAGTGCATTCCTTTGATGTTTTGCTTCTTTTTGCCTTTCTTCCACGTTCCATTGATCGTCTTGTTCCTCGAATCGGGGCCTCCGCTCCGCTCCGTGCTGTGCAGCTGTCGCGTTGTTCTCGTTCTCTCTCTCTCTCTCTCTTTCTGTGTTACTCTCATAGTGTACCAAGGCCTGCTGAACGTCGGGGAGGGGGGGAAGCAAACACAACACCTGCACAAAGGTGGTACTGGGGTTCGGGGAGTGTATTCCAATGCGGGTGAGGCTGATAGCTACGAGGGAGCAGACTGCTGCTCTCTCTTGCTGCACCTCGCAGGTGCGGCGGAGTCAGCCTCTCATTGCTATGCTAACACAGCGCCGTGGCTGCAGTACACCCGAGCAGCATGTGCATCATTATCGGCCACATGATCTCCGCGGTGGCAGCCGAAAAAAAATATATGCCGACGCTCCTGGAACTTCCATTAAAGCAGCATCAGCAGCAACAGTGAACGCAGCGTCGTCGGTGAATCTTACGCCCGAATCGGTTGCGCCACCGTCGCCGCTAACGGCTGACGTTGCCGTGGAGTACATGGCGGCTCTGCGCGGGCTGCACCGCTCGCTGGGCATCTCGCATGCGGCGTCGCGGACCCGCTGGCAGGGGCGTGAGTTTCTTCAGCACGGCATGCCGTGCAAATCCGCCGCGAAGCCGCAGGAGATGTGGGCCATGACGGAGGCACTGGCCTGTGCCGTTGTGGTGACGTGTGCGCAATTTGAAGTTGGAATCTTCGAGTGCCCGTACGGCCGTGATAGCGTCGAGTTCTTGAGAGCTTACTGGCAGGAACGGCTGTTATCATCATCTTCGTCTTCGTTGTCATTATCGCTCTGCAGCTGCGAGGAGGCCTCTCTCCTCGGGCGGCTCACAATGGCGGTGCTGGAGCAGCTTACCAGCCGCAGTTTCCGCGTCTCGGCGGGAAACCGTATGCTGCTGTCGCAGCTTCTGTGTGAGGCATTGCTTCCCGCCGTGGTGCAGCTGCTGCAGAGGGATGCCCTCTTTATGCCGACTGATAGAAGCGGTGAAGGAGGTTCATGTATGACGGCGGATCAGGCCACAGCATTCTCGGTGTTACTCAATACACTCACCAAGGCGGCGGCAGCGCAGTGGGTGCGACGTGAGGCGTCAGTGGACGCGCAGGAATTCCTTTTTTTAGGGATGCCAGCATCCCTACTGCCTCCTAACTCAGATGGCGCCTCGTGTGGGATGCATGCGATTCAAGTGAAAGTTGCACCACTCTCACTGCCCAAACTGTCGCGGGTGCTGCGGCAGTACGCCAGCAGCGTTTCATCGCTCCCGTTGAGGGAGACGGCATTGCCAGTGCTTCGCTTCTTCACACTCACCCAGTGCGTCCCACTTTTCGTTGCGCAACAGGATCACGACAACAGCAGTGGTGGCGACAGTATTCAGACGGAAGAGGTAGCATCGCTGGTGAAATCCCTCACATCTGTGCTGCAGACGGTTCTTGACCCTGGTTTCACATCTTTGTCACACCAAGTGGCGAACATTGCATCTATTTACGCACGCATTCTAACTTTTCGCTCCGCTGCTAATGGCAGTAGTAGTAGTATTAGTGGTGGTGGTGGTGGTGACGCTGCTATTAAGTCCCCGTTGTCGTGGGGAATCTTCGAGGGAGTTATGTTGGGGCTACAGGAAAACGTTTTTCATCGAGTCGAGGCTCTCTCGCCATCCGTTGTGATGCTGCATCTGTGCGAGCGCGTAGCACCACACGCGAAGAGGTATCTATTCTCGGATCTGGCTGCATTGCTGAGAGCACTTGCGAAGATCTACCGCGTTGTATGCAGACACCACGACGAGCAGTTACAACAGCTTCAACCGGTTTCACCTGTCATGACGGATGCTAGCGGTATGGCATGTCAGGTGTGCTGCGGCCATGACGTGAGTGTGGCGCACTCTCGATTCCAGCGTCGCCGTAGTAATGCTCCCATGTCGCCGCCACCGAGGCCAACTACGGCCAGTACAATGGCGCAGGCGGTTCGAAAGGTTGCCCCAGGATCACACCCACACTCATTGGCGTCATTAACTCCCTACGCCGTCAGCAGCGACGATATAGCGGAGATTGAGGGCGAGCTGGAGGTGCTTCTGGATGCCTGCGTCGCGGTCATTGAGAGACATATGTTGTCATCGTGCATAAGACGTCCGGTGTTGGTGGCACAGCAGTCCGGCACATCTTTGCCCATTGCTGACAAGGACAACAACTACAACATTGCAGGAGCAAAGACTGAGGGACTCGAAACTGTTGGCGTGTCACGTGCCAAGGCACTTGGAGGAAAAAGTCGACTACTGAGGAGGTCCCTCTCTAGCAGGGAGCTTGTGATGATTGCCGAGGGTATTCATGTTCTGAGCTGGCGGCCATTTGTAGCGTTTCAGGAACGACTGCTTCTTGCACTATCATCGGAGATTGGACAGGATGAGTTGGAACCAGTACAGTACGCACACCTTGTTTGCCTGCTCCTGCGTGCACCCCCTGCACTTCCCTCTGACATCTTCCACGCTGTTGGTGATCGTCTGAAGCGACTCATCCATGCCGAAGCTGTTACAGCACCAACAGGTCCGGAAGACACCAACGAAGTGATTGCCGTGGCTCACGTGCGCCCGCTGCAAGACCAGGCACTGTCTCTAAATGATTCATGCGCTGTTGTCTTTGCCTTTGCGCAGAAGATGGGTGAAAGCGCACTCCCACTCCTGCATGACCTCCTTGTACGCTGCGGCCAGCGCGTCCTCTGCGACTGTGGCACACCTGAGGCGTGCAGAGACAGCAACACTGTCGTTGCTCTGACGATGTTTGTGGTGAGTGCGACGTGGGCAATTGCCCATGCGGCGGACGGTCGTGCAGTTTCCTTCATTGCAGCTTCTCGCGACCATGCGGCTTGTGTCTTGGCGGCGTGTGCCAGCGGGTCTGATGCTGCTTCTCTCTCTTCGCTGATGCCCACGATTCGGGAGCAGGCTTTCGCCTGCATGATGCTGGAAGGGTCAGGCGGGCTGTACGACGGTGGACCTGCTGTGGCGGCGTTGCGCGAGCGTCTGCAGGAGGCCTACATCTCATGTGCTGGTCGGTGCGACAGTGTGGAGGTGGCTCGGTTTGCTGCGGGGTTATTCGCAAGTGGCCCACTTGATGTGTCGTGCGACAGCGCAGAGACGCAGGCGAGCGGCACCACGCTGCTGCAGTTTCCGCCATGGATGATTGCCCCTCTGAGGCTGCAGGAGCGGTGCGTGCGTGGTGGTCGGCTACTTGCCGTGTCGTTCCTGCCGCTTCTCCGCAGTGGTGGTAGTGGTGGTGTTGGCAACGATACTATCACTTCTGCTGTAACCTGTCTGTTGGCGGTAGTGCGACTCCACTGCCGTACCTTCGCCACGCTTGTTACGACGCTTCGTCTTCTGCGGGCGACGGACGCCGCGCTGCTTGTCAATACTGCTGTGCTTGAGGTGGTGCTTCGGAAGGTGACGCAGCTGACGCGGCGAACAGCACGCCCGCTGGATTTATTTCTATTCTTTACCATGTACGGTGACTGCCCGCCGGTGGTGTCGGCGTGCCTGGGCGAGCTCAGCGCAGAGGCGCAGTGCTTTGATTCCAAGAACGCCTTTGTGCCTATTGTCCAAATCAACGCGGCAGTGCGGGCGGTGCGTCGGTTGCCGTCGAGTGCGTTGCGGCAGCGGTGGTTCGCAGCAGTGACGCCTCTGATCCTGCACGCCGTTGCCGTGTCGTGGGAGACGCTCGACGTTGTGCTGGACTTGGTGGAGCTGGTGGGCGCCGACGACCCTGAGCTTCTGCAGGGTATTCTCAGGTCGTCAGCGTCGGTGCAGGCGATTCACGAGACGTTCAGCTTTACGGCGCCGGGCGACACACTGCTGCGGCTGCTGTTGTTGCTGCAGGGTGGCAACTCCTCTCACCGGACAGTACGTCGACTACACCTGGCCGCGGTGAAATTGCTGCAGAGTGGCAAGGTCTTCCTGCCGCTGGACCGACTGGCGCAGGCGATGCTGCTGCCGTCCATCGAGGGAACGACACTCGACCGACGACTGAAGCGATATTTCGTGTTCCGCATAGAGAAACTGCTGCGGCCTCCACGCCTGTCTTCTCCACGCGCTGCAGATGATCATGATCAAAAAACATCTGCAATGTTGACATCCAAGGAGCGAGAACAGCAGGGATGGGATGAGTCATTGAATTGCCTGGAACTGGAGCACTGGCTGGCGCTTCTGCGCTACTCTCCCATAGGCACACCCTCCTCTTACAGACTGCTTATGACGATGAAGCAGGACAGGGCTGACGCTGCGCGGCGGAAAGGAGGTCGAACGCTGACCACAGCTGTGGAGACGGCAACACCAAGAATAACCACAGCCACCGCTGCAGCAGCACCACCAACGACTCAACACGAACATTCAGCCTTCTCTTTTCTGGAGGAGCATGATGAAAGTGCCAACAGCAGTGGTACAGGGGAGTCATGTGGTAGACGTAGTCGGCGTCTTTCGGTTGTGTACACCTTCTCGGAGCGCACCATCTTGTGCCTGCGTCAATCATTGGGTGCGTCACGCTTCATTGTGTTTGTGAGTGAACTCTTGCGCCACAGCTCGAGTATGGCGTCTGACGCACTTTTTCCACAGCCAACAGGTGCCTGCGAGGGCCCATGGATGTACGACGGCAGCCCTTCTCCGCTCGCTGACGAGCGTGTGAAGCCATTCGTGCGCTTGGCAAGCTGTCTAGTGGAAGATATGTCGGCTGATCTGGGAGGCTTTCTCCAGCGTGAACATGCGCAACAACAGCTCCACTCACAACGATCTGTAGGGAAACCTCTCGATAAGGAAGTCACTTTAGACATTGGAGCCGTTCTCGACTACGTGCAGCTGCTTAACCTGTACGACACACCACGGACTGAAGAGCGGCTGCTGCTGCTCTCAAGCGGTGCGGGGGGAGACATATTCGATGATGCTGTGTCTCTGCCGCAGAGGCACCTCTGCCGACTGCTGTTGCAAGTGCCCCAGCACTGGGGATCAACATCGTCTGTTGCTCCTGCCTCTCGTGGTGGTGGTGATGGTGGAGGTGATGTGGTGCGTGTGCGTCTCTGCAACATCTCTTCGGTCTTTGACTACTGCTGCACACCGGCGGTTTGCTGTTTGCCATTCGGTACTTCAGACATGCCAGAGGGGCTGCGCCGTTCACTTTCGGACATGTTTGGCACCAATCGCCCGCTTCTAAGTGATGTGTTACTGCCACTGTCAGCTGCGCAGTCTCTGCAGAAAACTCTCGACAGCGCCATCAAGAGACGGCTTCTAGACGCACTGATGCAATGCGTAGTGCGTGATGGGGAGTCGCCCGCCACCACGAGGGCGCGGCTCGCAACACTTGGTCCGCGTGATTTGGCCTGCGTCGTACAGGCATGCGTGATGCGGGAAGCGGCTTCTGGTGGTGATGCTGATGCTGTGCGGCACAGCAGGAAAATGGCAGCGGCAAATGCAGTGGAGCTGCTGACGGATATGCTGCCGAGCACGAAGGCGGAGGACCTCCACGACGTTGTGCTCGCACTTCTCCCGTTGACAGCTTCCGAAGCACAACAGCAGCACCAGCAACGACATCTATCGAATGCGCAACTTCAGGGAGATACGATGGCTGAGGTACGTCGCTTCCTCGCGCACGTCGCGGTTGTAATGGGGAATGACACAGAGCGCTTCCCGCTACCGCTGATGCTCGCCATTCTGAGGCGCCTCCACCTGCCGCATGGCCTTGTCTCACCAGCTGCTGCGCAGATGATGCTGGCGAGCCTTCACGCGACACATGACTCGGCAGACCAGCAGCAACAGACGGATGACGACGGCAAGGGACATCTACCAGAGAGTGGAGTCCAGGCAGTGAGTAAAAAGGGACACTACACGGCAACGGTAGCGCTGCTGCGGAGTATCGTCGCGTCGTCGTCGTCGTCGTCGTCCCAAATTTTGGACACCGCATGAGAAGTATGAAGGAGTGAATGAGGCATTGGGATCGCAAGCACTTCACATAAATGNCAGAGAGTGGAGTCCAGGCAGTGAGTAAAAAGGGACACTACACGGCAACGGTAGCGCTGCTGCGGAGTATCGTCGCGTCGTCGTCGTCCCAAATTTTGGACACCGCATGAGAAGTATGAAGGAGTGAATGAGGCATTGGGATCGCAAGCACTTCACATAAATGCCCTGCGGCGAATGTGAACGACAACAGCAACGTAATGAAAGAGAACGTGGGAGGTGTGAAAAGGATATTGCTGCGGTTCATGTGGTTGATACTCACAGATACAGTGTTTTGCTCTGGTTAAACTGTAAAATGAAGAGCCAAAGGACGATGTGATTTGCAGATGCTGCTGCTGCTGCTGCTGCTGTTGCGGCGGCTCTCCCTATCGTGTGCCTAATCCTCAACGTTTCTCCTCTTGTGTGGCTTTGTGTGTGTGTGTGTGTGTGTGTGCCTCAATTGAGAGGCTCTGTGACACCCGAAGCTGGCCGCTTTTAACGTGAAGTAGTCTTAGTGCCGATGAGCGCTGCAACGCGCAAGACGGCCGTGGCAGTAGCAGCAGCATCAGCAGCAGAAGCAGAACCGACGACGGAGAAGGAACAAGAAGATAAACAAGGAGAGCGGGCGGCGTACGATGAGCTGCAGCGTCGTCTGGTGAGACTCTCCAAGTACAAACAGGCAGAGTACTACTGCGTCGAGGGCATTGCCACGCTGCGGCAGTCTCTGCGTGAGGTGGTGCGGCTTGAGGGCGACGCCGGCAGTGACAACAGCAGCGCCCGCTCGGAGTTGGCAAGGGCTCGGCAGGATGCTCGACGCGCGCATCAGCAGCTGGACAGACTGACTAAAGAGGCACAGCGTGCAGCGCGACGTGGCGGCACCGCAGACGAGGCAGACCTGAAGGAGTTGCTTCACCACGTGGAGAGCGCTAGGCTGTGGTACCGCGATTGCTTCCGAGTCGTGTTGTCACATGAGCGGCAGCCGCAGCGGCACGAGGGTGCGGTGGTGGAGGGTTCTGCACATCCGCCTGCGCGGCACTCGCCGGTGGATCTCAGCACCCCGCTGCTCGCAGCGAACGGCGCCGCGCCGTCCATCACCGTGTCGGACGAGGAGTTCCGGCTCTTCGCCGATCAGGTGCGGCGGAACGACGACCTCGCTGACGCCACGCTGGACCGCATTGCGCTGGGCCTCTCGCGGCTGCACGAGAACGCGGTGCACATGACGGCAGAGCTGAGCGCGCAGGAGCAGATCCTGCACGAGGTGGGGGGGAAGGTGGGGACAACCCACACGAAGTTGGGCGCGATGAATACGAGGCTGCGAAAGGTTCTGGCGAAGAACAACAAGTGCGACTTCTGCATGTACGCCTTCTGTTGCGTATTGCTGGTTGGTGTCGTTGTTGCTATTGCCATCCTCCTCAAATCCTGAGAGGCGCGTGCGTGTGGAGGGGTGGTGGTGGTGGTGGGGGAGGGCGAGAGCCCAAGGAAAGAGAGACTGTGTGTGTGTCTGTGTGTGCTTGTGTGTGAAGGTACGTGGTGGTCTGTTGTGGCGCAACCGTATTGACGCCCCCACGATGAAGACACAGGTACAGACACCCACGCACACACACACGTCCATAGGCGTTTGCTTCATTGCGTTCATCCCATGGATTTGTGTTGCCCGGCGGGTGGGCTGGTGCATGCGCAGCGGTGCTGCAGGACTGGCGTTGCGTCTGGGATGTCACGTCCCGTGCGAATGGCGGCGCACACCCCGCAGCTGTGCAGTGCATGTTGCCCGTTTGTTGTTTACTGAGGTGCATGTATGTGTGTGTGTGTGTGTGTGTGTGGCCTATTTGCCTTCTGCTGCCATCTCTTTGTGACCTTTTTTTTTGTTGTTGTTGTTGTCCCCGTTAGTGTTGTATTTCTTTTCCCCGGCGGTGAGGAAGGGAGGTGAGGTGGTGGAGAGGAAGAGGCAATCACCCGTATACTATACTGGCTGTCTCGCACAGTCCTTCACACAAACAAAGTCAGCAACCAAAAGAGCGAAAAGCAAAAAAAAAACCCAAAAAAGGCGGGAAGAGGGGTGAGGGGGAGGGAAACACCAAGAAATCAAAGGTGCGAAGGAACAAGGCAACATAAGAACAAAGGAAGAACGTGTCTGTGTCCACAGCGGAAAAGAAACAAAAACAAAAAGGCATTGGTGCCATTCGTATACGCCCAGGACGCAATACACGCCAACACCCTCACCCGCGTTTCACCCTTTCCACTCGTCGCACCGCTCAGTGACGCATTGCACGCACACGTGCCCCTACACACAGAGTATAACATCGTGCCCCACTGTACTGGGGTGTGGCACGAAGAAAGGTGAACGTGGGACTGCGTTGCCGCTGCTGCTGGCTCAGTTGCCGAGGTTTCGGTAAATACGCCAGGATGATTTCCAGCATCAGTGGAATGCTGAACCTCAACAACCTGGACATGACAAGCGATGCCAATGACGTCATAATCGTGCGCCACCCCAACGGCCGACTCTACAGCACGCAGTTCAACGTGCGTTTCGGCAAGGTGAAGGTGCTGCGCCCCAGCGACAAGGTCGTACAGGTGGAGGTGAATGGCGTACCGACTACCGCCGTGATGAAGATGGGACCCGACGGCGAGGCGTATTGGCTCAAGCCGACGTTTTCATCGGAGAGCGAGGTTGGCAGGCCGGAGTCACCTGTTGCCACCGCCAACGCCTCGTCGCTACCGCTTGAGCCGGTGCCAAAGTCTGAATCACAGTCGACACGTGCGGCAAAGGCAGCAACAGCCTCAGTAACGACGGAAGAAGCGGCGACAGAAGCCGAGGCAATGCCATTTAGGGCGGAGAGCGATATCGCCGCCAAACAACCGTTAATTGAAGAGGACATCGATGGGCATCTTAAGGTGAATGAGGCGGCAAGGCAGCTGGGGGCGGACCTCACGGAGGTGAAGCTCGCTCAGGAAACCGTTGTGGCAGCAGAGCGAGCTATGCGCAAGATTGCCCGACTCTCCATTGAAGACGATGAGTACTTACGCGAGACAGCTCTTCTTGAAGAGCAAGAGGGTGTTTTGTCACCAAAGCTTGCGATGTTTGAACGCCACGGTGATGCATTTAAAACTGCTCTAAGCCAACTCGACACACTCGGTGGGACTCCGTCTAATAGTTGCGTTTCTGCTCCTGCAGATGGTGGTGATGCTTCTGTAGGAGACGAAAGGAAACCCGTTTCTGCCTTTACCAGGCCTGTACCCACCAACGAGGGGGGATGTGACGGGGCGGAAACAGCAGCAGCAGCAGCAGGCGCGGAAGCAGCAACCCCAAGAACTGACGTTGCAGCTGAGCCAAGGACGGTTGCAGTCGATGTGCATGATGGGTCGACACTGGCCTGCGTGCCAGCCAGCATTGCTGCGAGCGACGACGAAATCGACATAATGGACGATGACTATATCTTCGAGGGTATCATTGATGAAGAGGCGTACGATGCGTATGAACTGGATACCTCCACCGTCCACAGGGCGGGCGCCTCCCCGATGCGGCCCGCGTCTTCGCCGCGGCGCCGCCGCTCGGCTCCTCAGAATGCCCCGGGCCCCAACGACGCGGGCAACATGATGTATTTCACGCGCACCCAAATCCCCACAGAGGCGGATATGCGCAAACTGAATCTCGTGGAAGGGCATAACCGGGTGCGCTACATCACACACAGCTCACTGCGTGGTGAGGTCACCGTGGAGGCGAATGTGTTCCTTTGGGACAGCACCGACCGTCTCGTCGTGAGCGATGTGGATGGCACCATCACAAAGAGTGACATGCTGGGGCACTTGATGCCGCTGCTCGGTCGTGACTGGACACACCCCGGCATCTGCGCGCTCTACAGCAAGATTGACCAGAACGGGTATAAGTTTGTCTACCTCACTGCGCGCAGCGTCTCACAGATCAGCATGACGCGCCGGTTCCTGTGGAGCATCGAACAGGATGGCTATCGGCTGCCGAAGGGGCCGGTGCTGACGGCACCGCAGCGCTTCTTCACCGCGCTCACACAGGAGGTGTCAAAAAAGTCACACTTCTTTAAGATTGCGTGCTTGAAGACTGTTCTTGACGCATTCCCGCTACACAGCAAGCCGTTCTACGCAGGCTTTGGAAACCGACTCAACGATATGGTGAGTTACGCCGCGACACGGATCCCGCAACACAAGATCTTCATCATCGACACCAACAGTGCACTGCATATCTACAATGTGAAGCAAACATACAAGAATCTTGCACAACTGGTCGATGTCACGTTCCCACCTATAACAAAGCGGTCTTATTGGCAAAGGAGTGCAGAGAAAAGTAGCCATAAGCAACCCCCCGGGGGGTCAGGTGATACCGACGCCGGCAGCAATAGCTCCTTTGGCTTTGTCACAGGCACGCGGGGGTCGGCATCCCCGGCACTTTTCTCGCTTGATGGGAGCGTGTCGGTGTCGTCGAATGCCGGCGATGATGATCGGGCGCACGGATCATCCAGTGCTGCGTTGCAAGCCGCATACTTTGCGGAGCATGGCGGCGAAGGTGCCCACAAGATGGGCCTCGTCGAGTCGTCGCTGGAACACAGCGCCGACATGGCCCTCGACCAGGACTTCAACTCGTTCCTTTACTGGCGGGTTCATCCAAGCGATATGTTGCCCGAGAAGAAGACGGCGGAAGGGTCAGCCTCACCCAAGGGCGAAACGAAGAAGCAACAGCAGCAGCAGCAGCAGCAACAACAACAACAACGTAGTAGGTGGCTGACTATCAGCATCCTCTCGAATAATGCGAGCGAGAATTCTCAAGGAAATGATCAGGAGTCTAAAAAGGATGGAAACACTGTTGATGCCAGAGGAGGCCCAGCGGCACAACAGCCGCCATCAGTGGGAAGTGGTACTGAGAAGAGTTCCGAAGGCGTCGGTGACGCGTCACGAACGCCAACGCGGGTGGCGGAACGCAATCTCCACCAAGATGAGACGTTAAGGAGTCAAAAACCTGCTAGTGGTGGGGCCGGCACGCCAATCCGTCCCCCTGCAGCGAAGGATGAGCCACCTGGACGTGGAGGCGACGCAGCGTCACCTTCTAAATCGCCTGGTTGTAGTACTGATAGTGGTGTTCCTCCTGCCACTGTTGCTGCTGCGACCTCTGCCAGCAAAGAGGGCTTCTCGCGTGGGTGGCTCTTTTGGAAGTCGACGGCGTCTTCCGTCGAAACTGCACCATTGGAGTCTTCCGCCTCTGTGCAAGAGCTTGCACAAGATGAGAGAAATGAGGTGAAGGAGGAGGGAGAGGGGGCGTGTGCGGTGCCGTTCCCAAACGAGCTCTTCAGCGATGGGCACGCGGCGCCTCAATAACGCGGCATCGTCGCGGATGCCGCGAGAGTCACAACACCGCTTGTACGTGCATGAAGAGACAGACACACACAGAGAGCGAACGGGCGTGAGAGAGAGAGAGAGAGAGAGAGAGAGTGAAGGTGTGAACCTTACGCATACACATATACACGTTCCAGCGTTCTTGCATCACCGGCAATATAGTAGTACGTGTGTATTGCCGTCTCTCCGGTGCATGTGCGGCGAGTGGTGTGGGTGGCACGCCACGTGGTGTGCCTGTGGCCGCGACGCGTGAGGCGCGTGAGTGATGTTGTTTGTTGCTGTTGTTTGTTGTTGTTGTTGTTTGTTGTTGTTGTTGTTTGTTGTTGTTGTTGTTGTTGTTGCGCCACGCCACCGGAGGACTTGCGACCTGCACGACAGGGCGGGTGGCTCCGCGTGGGTGGCGGGATCGCTGGGGGCGGGGCGGCTGCATATGAGGACAGGCGACCAAAACATCCAGAAAAGAAGAACAAAACAAAACTAACGAAAAGTGTGGCGTCGTTTTGGTTTCTTTTTTCTTTTTTACTTTACTTTTTCTTTCTTTCGTGTCTTTGGTCGTCTTTTGCTGCCTTCTCGTGTGATTGTCTCTGCGGGCGTGCACGTTGTGCGCCTTGCTGCTGTTCGGTGCCTGTGCTCTGTCTCTCTCTCTCTCTCTCTTTCTCTCCCTGTTACCATCTCCTCTGCGTCCTCTCTGCAGCGGTGTGTGTGTGTGCGGCACTGGCAGCAGCAACATACGCAGGGGACACGGCAGCAGCGAAGTAACACCGCACAGCGCGCAGTCATAATGGGAGCGGTGCCCCCCTCCCCCTCCCCGTCATGTGAGTGCGGCGTGAGTGCGCTCATCCGCGGGTGTGATTCCACGCACCACTCCGTCGTGCCGTTTGTCTGCAGAAAGTATACACGTTTCTCTGTCTCTCTCTTCTTCTTTCCTTCTCTCTCTCTCTCTGTGTCTGCGCACGTGTCTCTTCGCCGCCCCTGTGCACCACTGCCAGTAAAGGAAGCAGTGACGGGAGATGGAGTTTGACGAAGACGTCGCACCGCTGATGCAGAAGATGGACGGGGCGCTCGCCCGCATGCAGACGGAGCTGCTGCCGCTCCTCGCCGCCCTTGACGAGGACGTGCTGGTGTCGCACTACAGTGTGGACGAGCAGGCCCGCATCTCACTTGCTGCCGCATTCGCGCTCGTCTTGCTGACGTACGCACACGACCGGCTGCAGTACAACAAGCGCGCGGCGGCCGTCGACCCACAGGTGCAACTCAAGATGGACCGCGTCGTGGAGTACATCAAGAAGCTGCGCGAAATCACACAACTCCACACCAAGCCCCAACAGCAGCAAGAGGAACAGCAAGAGGAACAGCAGCAACCGAAGGAGACGACCGGTGGCAAGGGGGGTCGGAAGCGAGCACGTGTAGAGGCAGGCGACGCAAAGAAGGAATCCACGAGCGACGATGCAATGCACGCAGCTGGCGGCGAGGCGACCGCTGATCCCTACGGTGACACAATTCTCTTCAAGGAGGTGGAGCGCGGTGTGGGAAAGGCGTCGGCGTTGCTGCAGAACCTGCTGGGGCATGTAAAGGCATC